GTTTCAGGTAAGACCAAGGGAGATGATAGCTTTTAGTATGTGGGTTAGTCCTCAGGGCCCTCCCAGGCGGCCAGGAATGCTCTGGCTACTGGACAAGGGATGCACTAAACCTAATTTTACCCCTCTCTCTTCACTGAGCCCTTGCAAAAGCCTCTCAATAATATGATTATTGGTCATATTTTCCCCCTGTTTACACATAAACCACAATTTATTCATTTTTCTGTTGGTATACTATATTGTTTCCAATTGTCCTCATTAAGGTTAAAGTTGATTTTCCTTCTTTCTCCAGTATCCTAAGTCCTGCCCACCTAAAGCTCTTTCCTCTAAGTAGTCAGATGTATGTGGTCTCTCCACAGAAAACAGATCTCTTTTCAGGACTGTACAAATCTTAATTTTCTCTCTTCCACTCTATTTCCACTTTTCCCCACATTTTATTTTCCAATTCCAGTTTTCATCTCTTTTTAATTTACCTGTCTTATTTTTTGGTAATAGCTACTTCATGAATAATCCTGTAAGAGAAAATAGCACAGAATTCCTTCTCGCCCAATCCAGTAACAATTTTCCTGAACTTTGCTTTTATTATGAAAAATTTTAGACATTTTGAAAGGCATAGAGAACATTATAACACATTTCTATGTAACTTCCATCCAGATTAAGAAATAAAAGTTGAAGCCCTGCTGTTCCTCTCCCACCTTTCAAAATAACCACTCTTCTGTTTAAATATTACTATTGCCATTTGTCTTCTTACTTTCATTCATTACTTACTTTCATTACATCCCTAAACAACAGCATTGTTTTACACATTCTTCAAATAAATGATAAATGTACTTTCCTTGCATCTTTTAAAAATATTTATTTTTTAGTTGTAGTTGGACACAATACCTTTATTTCACTTGTTTATTTTTATATGATGCTGAGGATTGAACCCAGGGTCTCGAACGTGCGAGGCGAGCGCTCTACCCCTTGAGCCACAACCCCAGCCCTTTCCTTGCATTTTTTAAAAAATATTTTTTAGTTGTTAAAGTATCTTTATTTTTTATGTATTTGTATGCAGTGCTGAGGATCAAACTCAGTGCCTCACACATGCCAGGCAAGTGCTCTGCCACTGAGCCATAACCCCAGTCCCCTTTCCTTGCTTTTCTTGTTCAACACTGTTGATGTTACTCTATGTTGTTCTAGTTTATTCATTTCCATTGAATTAATAAACCACAATTTATTCATTTTTCTGTTGGTATACTATGTTGTTTTCAATTTGGGGATTACAGAGATGCTGCAGTCTACTTTTGTGCACATAACTG